CAGTCTACTATCACGGTGCATCTGTTTTTTGTGCACTATTAATGCTTCCTGTTATGAGCATACATACATGGTCTGATGGTTTATATATTTCAGGTACTCACTGTCTCTGCTGACAAGTCAGCAAAAGTATGGGACATATCTGATGATGGAAAAGGGAAAGTGAAAAAGACACTGACTGCTCCTGGTTCAGGTGGAGTTGAGGACATGCTAGTTGGCTGTCTCTGGCAAAATGATCACCTCGTTACTGTTTCTCTTGGTGGAACTATTTCGATATTCTCAGCAAGTGATCTGGAAAAATCCCCTGTGTCATTTTCTGGACACATGAAAAATGTTAATTCCTTAGCCGTCCTCAAAAGTGACCCAAAAATTATGTTGTCCAGCAGTTATGATGGTTTGATTGTTAAATGGATTCAAGGCATTGGATATAGCGGAAAGTTAGAGAGAAAGGTGAATTCTCAAATCAAATGCTTTGCAGTTGTGGAAGGAGAAATTGTGTCATGTGGATTTGACAATAAGGTGAGTTGTAAGATCTCCTTTTTTCTTTTCTTTTATATATAAGTTGGTTATTTGTGAAGTTTACTTTTTGTGAATAGAAGCCCTCTCACAGTGCTTTATTGATGCTATGATTCCATCTGATTCCGTTTGAATTTTTTTTAAAGGGAAGTACTTGCTTAACTCTAATCTTGTAAAGTCAGCTTTAGAATTTAAATTCCCTTGATACTTCTGAGAAAGAAAAAAGATTAGAGATTACAATCACTCATCTAAGCATAAGTTATTTATCTGTTTACATGATGGGAGTAGTTATTTCTCCGTGCGTTTGTACCATACCGGTTTATATAGCCTTAATTGTTGAAAAATCTAACAGAAGGACTATTTCGCTGTTTACATTAATTGCACCACTTTTACCAGTAATATGATTAGATGATATTCCCGGTTATAGTTGGGTAGATACTTATAGTGTGGGATTTGTAAGATCTTTACCTGTTTTATGTGTGATTAGAGTGTAATACTATGGATTTTTATAGTCTTTCCCTGCTTTTCTATGTTTTCATATTTCTTTGGGCTAAAAACAATGATGCTCAGAGAATTATGTTAAATCAAACAAAAGTGGAGTTCCTGGCAACTGTTGGCTATAATGCAGTTTTTTGCTTCTTGATGTGACATAGATCTGGAGAGTGTCTCTGCTTGGAGATCAATGTGGAGATGCAAATTCTATAGATGTCGGCAACCAACCTAAGGACTTGAGCCTTGCCCTTAGTTCTCCTGAAGTGACTCTAGTTTCTTTTGATACTGGAGTCATTCTTCTCCGTGGTACAAAAGTTCTGTCAACCATAGACCTCGGATTCACCGTGACAGCATGTGCTATTTCACCTGATGGAACTGAAGCTATAGTGGGTGGTCAGGATGGTAAACTGCGTTTGTATTCCATCACGGGCGATACTCTCAACGAAGAAGCTGTCCTTGAAAAACACAGGGGAGCTATTACTGTCATTCGATACTCTCCAGATGTTTCCATGTTTGCATCAGCAGATGTCAACCGAGAAGCAGTTGTCTGGGACCGTGCATCTCGTGAGGTAATAATTATTATTTTCATAGTCAACATTAGCTATATTATATATCCTGTAACTAATAAAGAGTTTCTGTTTTAAAGGTGAAGCTTAAGAATATGTTATACCATACTGCCCGAATAAATTGCCTGGCCTGGTCACCTGATAACACTATGGTAGCTACTGGATCTCTCGACACATGTGTTATCATATATGACATCAGCAAGCCAGCTTCGAATCGAATCACGATTAAAGGAGCTCATTTAGGTGGAGTATATGGACTAGCTTTTACTGATGAACACAGTATAGTGAGTTCTGGCGAGGATGCTTGTGTTCGTGTATGGGGAATAACTCCACAATAATTGAGATCGCTTGATAAGCAATTGAGGAGTTCATATTTGCACATTAAGTTAATTATGAGTCGGCTGGAATGCAGTTTGAGCTTTGAAATATTGGTTGGCCTCAACTTAGGACAGCCCTATTGATGGTGCCACTACTTGTAAACATGGTAATAGGGAAACACCAAGTTAAGAGTTTTCCCGAACGATCATCACACTTCCCCATACACAAGAAGGTACTCTTATATCTTAAAGATGTAAAAAAAAAAAATCAAATAGTTCAACTTGGATTTATTTCAACCACGGAAGGCTTCTGTCTGGGTACTGAGACCATAGCAGGCTGTCGAGTTGGGATTTTTGTCTTTGAGCATCAGAAGACTATTGGCCGCCATTCACGTTAAATTTGCGTCGTGTTTCTGTTTTTGCTTCTTACATTTGTATGTATGCATTGATTACATTCCAATTATAGGTTTTCGGTTACATTTTAAATTATTGTTGTTATGATGATGCAAGTGTGATCTTATTGCTCAAGCTTTTATAGGGATTTGTTTTGTTCGTATTTGTAAGTTGTGACGTCTTTTCCGTTATGCTGTCCTTTGATTGTGCTTATTTTTCACTCTGTTATGTGAGTAGTGATCATATTTCTGCTACCATTGCCACCGTTAATTATTATAAGTAATTACTTACTTCCTCTTTTTTCTTGCATAAAATTCCATGAATTCTAGTACTCCTTATTTTGCTTATATTTGCCATTGAGGTAGTTTCAAGTTTAAGTTAATCTTTGAGGTCCAGGAAAAGGTCAGTCATCCCAAACTTGTTAAGGGATGAAGTGAACGTTGGAGGTTCTTATGTTTTCCCGAGCCGAGGGTCTATTGGAAACAGTCTTTTTATCTTCACAAGATAGGGGTAAGGTCTGCATACACACTACCCTCTCCAGATCTCACAACGTTGGTTTTGGAAGACCTAAAAAAATGTCAGAAATCAAATTTAGTCGCCCAAGAAGGTAAGATTCAGTGTTTTTAACATTAGGCTAAAAAACTAGTTTTAGTTCACGTGACTGCTTAACAAACAGCCCCCCTGGGGTCTGGAGATAGCATGTAAGAATACGACTGGAGTAACAAAAAGACCTCTTTTTCAGCAGGCGTGCGTAGAAATGGGCCCAGATAGAGTCCTTTCTGTTATGGAATGGACCAAATGGGAATTGTATCCAATCTCCCACTTCAAATACCATATGTCTATTTTTACTTTTTAGCCAAGGGACTAACTAATCAATTCTTCTCATTAGATTTGTTTGACTGTTTGAGCTATTAAACACCAACATGCTAAACAATACATAGTCATCACTTATATAGCTCTTAATCTAAAATAGCTACTAGCCTCATCCAATAAGTAAGAAGCTTGAGTCACGTAGAGGGTAAGTGGGAACATAATTGGAAAAAACCTGATCTTAGAAGAGAGTATATTTCACCAGTTACATGGTAGAAACTGTTGAATAAAACTAACCTTGAACTTATAAAATTAACAAGGGTATAAGAAAACAAAAATTTCCATTGGATAGCATATCCCAAAAACAAAAAACCTCGAATCTCTTAGGCCTGGTAATTGTTCTAATGAGGGATTTGATCTTCTTGTTCCATATGGTACATGATCAGCACAAAGAACTTTAAGTGTCTGTACGCTGTAACCATTAATGGCTTCTGCTTGCAGCACAAAATTAATTTTTTTTTAATGAATTAATCGACTAAAATTTTACGAACTGTCTGGTAATAAGATTTAAATACTAGACGTTAGGGGGAAAAAATGGCATATGAAAGACAAGCAGGAAAGAAAATTTTATATATAGGTCTCAAGCACAGGATTATTTAATTTAAAGCTACACCATTTTAGTGATTTAATTTGAAGCAATAGATAAAATAAACAAAACAGTCTCAAAATCAAGATCTTCATCAAGAAATTCCTATAGAAAATATCTAAAGAGAGTCTGTTAAGTGAAAGATAAATATGAACTGGACCAATAAAATCCGGGATCTAGGATTACCACCACTTCTTTTATCCCTTCTTATCAATACAAATTTCTCTTCCTTGTTTGTTACCAATCATTGAAGCAATTTGTTTCATTTTTGGTCAACAAAAGAGTCCTTATTGCTGCCTTTTTTTTGTTGTTTATCACCTTGTTTCAACTTGATACTTCGTACCATAACTCACAAAGCACGAGTCACCGATGAGGTGGAATACTGGTCCTACAAACTAAAATATACTAGACAGAAATGGGAGGAGCAAATTCCATATATAACCATTGAAATTTGGTAAATTTCTTGAGTAATAATTGGTGAATCACCAAGGTGTTCAACACATATTCTGGGATTTATATATTAGATTTACCTCTTTGTGTGTAACCATCTTTCACAAAATCTTGGATCCATCTCCGATCCGTTCATAATATGTTATTTTTCATGCTTCAATGGTTAAAAGGTGATGTAATAAGAATTCAGCCCCTAAATCGCGGCAACCCATGCTAACTCCGCCCGTTATTTTCTACATATTTTTCTGCTAAAGTTTATATTTCGTCAACCAATTACGTGATTGCTATTGTGTCAAACTCAAAATGGTTTAAAGGTGTCTTGTTTCCATCTCCGATTAGAATATGAAAGTATGAATTTATGTCCCATTAGTAGACGAACTTCATATTTCTTTAAAGAGCAAAAGACTTGATTGTTTTAGAATTGCTGGTCGATAGTAGAATGTTTAAACAGAAAGTGGAGAATATTCATAATTTAAAGTTGGAAGGAACCTTCAATTTTATCGTAAAGTGGGAGCACAAAAATAATTTTCATCCATATACTAAAATATTATATATTAATTAAAAGGTGGTAATTTCTTACATAGAATAATGATTAGACTTGGTAAAGGACAAAGAAATAGATATTTCTCTCCGACTGCAACTGTGTAAGAACATTAATATCTTTTTTTTTTTTGTAATTCACAATATTATTAATCACCAAAGAATCAAATTACATCGTATAGTGGCCAGCTCGGCTTATACACAATTCTACCCTATACTCCTATCCTTAACAGACTATTTTACCTTGTTTCTACACACTTAGCTCTTATACCCCTATAGAAGTCTTTGATGCAGGACTTCTCTAAGCTTGCCTACAGCCCGTATATTACACGTATATGCTATCTCTCTAATGATGCTCTTAGTATCTCTATGTACCTTATCAAATACTCTATGATTTCTTTCATTCCATATACTGTACAAAGTTTCAGCTAGAACCATTCGCAAGAGCTGCCCTTCAACAGATTTCTTCTTTGCTTTCTCCACAAACCAGGCTACTAGCTGATCCCACGTCTTTATTTGCACCTGGATATGTAACCAATTGAAAATTCCTGCCCATAGTCCAGTGATGATAGTACATTCCCAAAATAGTTGAGCATGAGTCTCTGGATGATTTCCACAAAAGACACATATTGGATCCACGTTTATGTTCCATTTGATCAGCCTGTCAGTTGTCATCATTCTTTCCTGTATGATCAACCACATGGAGAACGCTTTAGGTCTAGCTAGATTCTTGAACATGATTGCTTTCCACTCAACTCTAGCTAATGATCCAATTTGTTGTAAGTATAGCTGTTTGATCTTGCTGCGTTTGCCATTATCTCCCTGCATCTGTGTATTTGGACCAGCAACAGTCATGATCTTTTGAACCATCCAACTCGCTTGCTTTGGTACTTTGACTGTAGCAATAGAGTGCCCTTTTATATAGTACATATGAACCCATTTGATCCATAATCTGTCTGCCTTTGTTGCCAAGTCCCATTGTAGCTTGAGAATGGCTGCTTTATTCCAGCTTTTAAGATTCAGGATGTTCAGCCCTCCAGCACTTTTGGGTTGACAGACTTTGTCCCAAGATATTAATGCACGTTTGGTAATGACATTAGTTCCTGACCACATGAAGCTTCTACAGTATGCTTCAATAAGCTTGATCACCTTGGAGGGCATCAGGAATATTTGAGACCAATAAGATTGTACTCCAAAGAGAACAGTTCTAATAAGTTGAACTCTACCAGCATATGATAACTTTCTTGCAGTCCAGGATGATATTTTAGCTAATATTTTGTCAATCAATGGTTGCCATTGTGCCACCTTCATCTTTTTGGTAGTAAGAGGGACCCCCAAGTACTTAAATGGTAATTTACCTTGTACATACCCCAGCTGTTGGATGATAATATCCTGATCTACCTTGCACACTCCACCAAAGTAGACTGAACTCTTGTTGAGATTGGGTTTTAGTCCAGATGCTGTGGAGAACTGATCAAAACATTGCTTCAGCATTGCAACAGATTGATTATCACAGAGCAAACAATAACAGATCATCTGCAAAGCTCAAGTGAGTTATGCCCAGTTTCTGGCACTTTGGATGAAAATGAAATTGCTTTTCATTCTTCAGATCAGTGAGAAGTCTACTTAGATATTTCATTGCTAAAGCAAATAGAAATGGGGATATTGGATCCCCCTGTCTGAGGCCTTTAGCAGTAGGGAAAGGTTCAGTTAGCTCACCATTTATCAAGACAGAGTAACTCACACTATGCATACAGGATGACACCCACTGAGTGAATTTATGAGGAAACCCCAGACCTTCTATGACTTGTGTCACATAGCTCCATTCCACACTGTCATAAGCTTTTTGCAAATCTACCTTGATCATACATCTAGGTGATATATGCTTCCTTGAATAGGCCTTAATCAGTTCATGTGCTAGAATGATATTATCAGCTCCTTTTCTCCCAGGAATGAATCCAGCCTGAGCTCCATCAATTAAGTAGTTCATTACTTTCTGCAACCTTGATGCTAAGATTTTGGAGATAATCTTATACAACATAGAGCAGCAAGAAATGGGTCTGTAGTCCTTTATGGTAGTAGGGTTGGTGATCTTGGGTAGTAAAGTAACTGTAGTACAATTAATGGCCTTAGGCATCACACCCGTAGCAAAGAACTCCACTACTGCTTCATATACATCATCCTTGATAACCTCCCATGCTTTTTTGAAGAAGACAACATTATAACCATCAATTCCAGGAGCTTTATCATTACCAATAGCATGCATACATTCATCTACTTCATGTTTGGATATATCTTTGATCAGTTCCACTACCTGCTGATGCTTCAGTTGAGGTCCCCTTTTCAGAATTTGCATGTTAACAGCAGGAAGAGTTGTAGCTGCAGTTCCCATAAGGGCCCTATAGAAATCAACTATCTCCTTCTTGATACTTTTAGGATCTGTTAGGATCTCACCATTCAGAGCTGTTAGTGTATTAATATTTTTCCTGCTTGTTCTGTCTTTCATTATTGCAAAGAAATATTTGTTGTTTCCATCCCCAACATTAATCCAGTGAGCTCTAGATTTCTGCTGCAAAATCTTCTCTTCAATACTTGACCATTTTTCTAATTGAAATTTGGCCTCCTTCTCCATTATTCTTAGCTGGTCTGAATGATCTCTATTTATTTCTTGATGGTATTCAATAAGTTCTCTTCTTGCTTGGTTTATCTTCTCTGTTATATTTCTGAAGCTTCTATTGTTTAAGTTCTTGAATATAGGTTTCATTGCTTTCAGCCTGTACCAGATAGTAGCTAGTTTACAAGACTGATTCTCTCCTTGCCATCTTTCCCTTATAATACTTTGAAAATCTTTATGTTCTGCCCAAATATTTAGAAATCTGAATGGCACTCTTATGTCATTGCTTCTCCTCTGGAATTTTAGGGTGAGGGGTGAGGGGTCTGATATAAATGGATCCCCTATTTCAACTGTTAGGTGATCAAAATTCATTATCCATTCATCGTTCCCCAATTCTCTATCTATCCTGCTAATTACCCTATCTTCACCCATGCCCATTTGTCCATGTAAAGAATTCCCCACTCCAAGGGATTTCAGCCAACATTGTGTCAGAACAAAAATTTGCAAAGTCTTTTATATCAGCTTGGGTAGGTGCAACCTTTGATACTCTATCTTGAGTAGAAATAATAGCATTAAAATCCCCCCACAGTAACCATGGTTGGTTAATAGTTTGTGCAAGATTTTTAAGCTTTTACCACATCTCCTTCCTCTTCTCTAAGCTATTATACCCATATATCACAGTCATAGCACACCTGATAGTAGAGCTACTAATGATACAGTGAATAAATTGAGCATCCGTTTGAATCCCATCTACTTGCCATATATTTCTGTCCACTAGTAGCCATATTCTCCCATTAACTGCATGGTCATAGTTATGAACTAGGTCCCAATTTTTTGCAATCTTAGGGGCAATAACAAAAGCTTTATGTTGTTTGATTCTAGTCTCCACTAAACCAGCTAAAGAAATATAATTTTCTTTGAAGTATTTAGCCAACTCCTTCTGTTTATATCTTTGGTTTGCCCCCCTCACATTCCACATGGGAACTGTCATTTGGAAGGACCTGTTGTACCACCTCTATCTGGTGGTTGTTTATCCCCTGGACCTCCTGATAGCACTTCAAATGTGTTCTGTGTGATAATTGAAAAATCAATACCACCTACATTTGTTCTAGGAGTTGAAATACTATTTGTCTCTCAATACACTATTGTCATGCCTTTTAGCCTGTGTCATGCCCTGTGTAATATCCACTGATTTTCCAGCCATTATATCATGAACTATTGTAGGGGCAACAGTTTGGGCTTTAGGAGATATTGCTTCAGCACTATTAGGCTTATTATTTGGTTTAGTTAACTCTTGAGGCTTACTTGTATTCTGCTGTATACTGCCTTTACTTCTCCATTGCTTTGCTGGCTGATGGGCTTTGCCATATACTTTCTGAGTCTTCTGAGGCTTCCCTTGAATTTCCTCATTGCGTTTGCATATATGCCCCAACTGTTGACAATCTGAGCTGAATTTAGGTTGCCATTCAAACCGCACCACTTGATTGTACATCTTTCCAGAGGGATCCTGTATTGTGACTCTAGTTGGTAATGGCTTAGTGATGTTCACTTCAATCAGCATCCTCGCGAATGAGATTCTCGACTGATTAGCTGTACATTCATCAGCAAATAGTGGCACTCCAATAGCACTTCCCAGCCTGCTTAGTGAGTCTTTTCCCCAGTAAACCATAGGCAAATTAGGAAAAGAGACCCATAAGTGGATCTCTTTGAGAAAAGCTGTATCAAATTCTATGTCAGGAGACCATTTGTTCAGGATAATAGGTCGATTATTAATCGTGTAGGGCCCTCCATACAGAACTTCCTTGAGGTCATCTTCCTCTTTGAATTTGGCAATGAAATAACCTTTTTCATGCCAAAACAATTCAGAGCATGAGGCTTTTGACCAATTGTGATTGATGTATCTCTTCATCTGATTATAGCCTGGGATTTCTCCTATTACTGCAACAATTAAGGAATGATTCCACTTCTCAACTTCTTTTGCAGTCTCTACTGGATCTAGTTGAATAACCACATTACCATCCACAATCGTCGGGGCTATGTAAGACAGAGCAGCCGTTGGATGCTATCCGATTTTTAGCAAACAGATTGACCCACTCCGAAGCAGTTGAATCCTTGTTAGCCTTCAATTTCTGCAGATTTTCATCTGCATGTGTGTTTGGTTGTGATTGTACCATAGGTGATACACTCAATGTTGAAGCCATGCATTCACTCAGACCTTTGTTCTTTCCACTATCATCCTTAGGCAATCTACTGTCCAATTCTACTAATTGTGTCAAGTTAGTAGCAGAATCGAGGGTACCTTTGTCAATCTCACCATTTTGTTGGATTACTCCTGGATCTGCCATTGTTGATGTCGCCTGTGTTTTCTGAGAAACAAATTGAGCTGATGGAGATGTAGTTGTTGTTAGTGAGCTTCCGATAACTAGGATTGGTGTCTTCCTTGGCCGTCCTGGTCCATTTCCTTTGCCCTTCGCCATTGACAACCACCGTTCCCGCCAAGCGTAACCGCCGCTTGAAGAAACCGTCAGTGGGGAGGGAGTTTTCTAAGAACATTAATATCATCACTTGTATGGTTACTTTTTCCTTTTTCAATAAATTTTCTCCATTGTTTTTATTTTTGTCTAGGACAAATCAACCTTTGGCTAATCAAACTCTTAAGATTAATCCCTTTAATTTTCATAGAGAAAAATAAAGTAATCAAGTAGATAAGACCGATTATTTTAATAAACTATTTAACAACCTACAAAGAACGAAATATTATGTTAAAATCTAGAAGGATGTACTAAATAATTAAAAAAAATTATCAAAAAAGAGAAAATCTAGGAAATAAAACAGCCAAACAAAATCGACTAATTTAGCTTAATATTTAGTCACTTACCAACATTATTCCGATAATAAAGATTGTAATAAGTAAGATAGTAATTAATCTTCTAAAAGAATACTAAGTACTTATAAGATAAACATGGAACAGGTTAATATTTCGTCACGTACCAACTTTATCCCGATAAAAAAGATAGTGTAATAAGATTATTTAATTAATCTTCTAAAAGAATACTAAGTACTATAATTATTCTTCTAAAAGAATACTAAGTACTACTATAGGATAAGGATGGGACCCACCCAACTCTGTTATATTTTTCTTCTATAAATACATTTGTCTTGCCACAACGTACCTTCACATTCTACTCAAACCTCTCCATTGAGTACTTCACAATGATTAAAGCAATTAGTTCTCCCCGGCTAATTTTGCTGCTAATTACAGCTCTAAGTACTGTAATTACAGTTAAGTCTGATATTAATGATGTTTCGCCGGAAAAGTTGAGTTTTGACACCGGAGGTTTGAGCAGAGAAAGTTTTCCGAAGGGATTTATATTCGGAACAGCAACTTCTGCGTACCAAGTTGAAGGTGCTGCTAGTACTGATGGCCGTGGACCTAGTATTTGGGATACTTTCATTAAACGACCTGGTATTAATTCATTAATTTTGGATTATACATTAATTATGCGTTTGCTTTTGCTGATGTTTTGCTTTTTCTAATAAATTTTGATGGCATAACAAAAACAGGAGTTGAACCAAACAATGCCAATGGAGAAGTCGCTGTTGACCAATATCATCGTTATAAGGTGAGTGTACTAAGTTCATATATGCTGCAACATATTGGGGTCGTTTCTTAGGGCGTATAAGAATGATACTGAATAAGGTGTATTAGTATTGCAGAGCTTATTTATGCTGAGATTATTTTTTATTGATTGTTTGGCTTGTATTAAAGGTTTTGAAAGGATAGTTCTGTCTTTATCATTACAATCCCATATTATAAGAATAATACTGAATATGATGTATTAGTAATACCGAGATTATTTATGTTGGCAGTTATGCTGGAATTATTTCTTATCTAACTGTTTGTTTTGTATTAAAGGTTTTGAAACGACTGTTCCGTCTTTACTATTACAATCCCATATCATGAATATCTGATGACATGATAATGTAAAAATAATTTACATATAAGTTAAACTCTTCATAAATTGGAATTACTGAATATAATATAAGACTGAAGTTCAACTATGCTGTTTGAAATTTTCCAGTAACGTGAAATTTTTGAATTTTCTCTTTCAAACATATACGCGAAATTATTTGTCATAACTAATTACAAAATGTAATTGTAAGTGTACCAAATTGTTATCCGCTGAATATTTCAACATAGTTTTTAATGTACAAGGTGATCCTTTGATTCTGCTGCCCAAAATTAATCACTTTATGGTTTATGATGCCACTGTAATGGGTACAGGAGGATATTGATCTGTTGGCGAATCTGAATTTTGAAGCTTATCGCTTCTCAATTTCATGGTCCAGAATTTTCCCAAGTAATTTCACTATTCCTTTTCTATTTTATAGTCTATTCTCTAGCCATTTGAAATAATAAGTAATAATTTATTCTTTGCGTCTGAAATTTGTAATGTAGATGGAACTGGTAAAGTAAACTGGAAAGGAGTTGATTATTATAACAGGTTGATCGACTACATGCTCGAAAGAGGTAACTTTCTTTTCTCCTTTATAATGCATAATCATATAAATTATTGTTGTGAAAATAAATAGTTAAGTACTATACTGAACTTTAAACAAATTTTTAACAGGTATTACCCCATATGCTAATCTTAACCACTATGATTTACCACAAGCACTTCAAGATAGGTACAATGGATGGTTAAGCCGAGAAGTCGTGTAAGTATATCATCACTTAAATTCATGCAACTACCAACTATTTGCTTGTTTATTTTGGTAATATGTTTTATTGTTGGAATATTGCAGGAAAGATTATGCTGATTATGCAGAGTTTTGTTTTAAGACATTTGGAGACAGAGTGAAGAACTGGTTTTCTTTTAATGAGCCAAGAGTTGTTGCTGCTTTAGGGTATGATACCGGATTCTTTGCACCCGGAAGATGTTCTAAACCATTTGGAAACTGCACAGAAGGAGATTCTGCAACTGAGCCTTATATTGTTGCCCATAATCTCATCTTATGCCATGCTTCTGCAGCTCAGAGATACCGCGAAAAATATCAAGTAGGATATTTTTTCCCCCTTTTTTGCGTTCCTCGCTTTTGAAATTGCAGATCACTCTTTAACCTCACTTTCTGAATGCAATATATAACAGGAGAAACAGAAGGGAAAATTTGGCATTCTCTTGGATTTTGTGTGGTATGAACCTTTGACAAGAGGAAAAGCCGACAACTATGCTGCTCAAAGAGCAAGAGACTTTCATTTGGGATGGTAAGATATTGCACACATAGTAATGTATTGCAATTGCTAGATTAAGGGGAGATTCTTACCGGTGGCAGATCCAGAATTTAGACATTGTCGTTTTTGAGTTGAGAGAGTGGGTTCTGACTAACTATAATCATACTTTGCGCTTGTTCTGCAGGTTCTTGCATCCTCTTGTATATGGTGAGTACCCAAAAACCATGCAAAATATTGTGGGGAAGCGATTACCCAAGTTCACGAAAGAAGAGGTTAAGATGGTCAAGGGATCAATTGATTTATTGGGCATAAACCAGTACACTGCCTACTACATGTATGATCCTCATTACACAACACCACAACCCTTGGGATATCAACAGGACTGGAATGTTGGATTTGCTTGTAAGAAACTACTGTTTTACTAGTTCTTAAGTTATAAATGAAACTACTTGTTTTAGTATGTAAGAGGTTCTACTGATTCTAATTCTTTCACTTGCTCTGATGTAGATGATCGCAAGGGAGTACCAATTGGTCCTAGGGTGAGTATATGATGAAGTTAACATTGTCTTTAACCTAAAAATGTACTAATATCTTAATTATTAGCTAACAATGTCTTTGTTGATATGATTGTAGGCACACTCGGATTGGCTCTATATCGTGCCATGGGGTCTACATAAAGCTGTCAACTATGTAAAAGAACGTTATGGAAATCCTACCATGATTCTGGCAGAAAATGGTATGGTTTGTTTAACAAGTGAAACATTTCAAAGCTGCATTTGACAAAAAGAATGTCTACTAATAGTATATGATTTACAGGTATGGATTATGCGGGCAACATCACCCTTCCTAAAGCATTATATGACACCAAAAGGATTGCTTACTATAAGAGCTATTTGCAAGAACTAAAGAAGACTGTAGATGAAGGAGCTAATGTCATAGGCTATTTCGCGTGGTCATTGGTAGACAACTTTGAATGGAGATCGGGTTATACTTCCAGATTTGGCATTGTCTACATTGATTTCAATACCCTCAAGCGATACCCAAAGTTGTCAGCATTATGGTTCAAGAAATTACTTAGGCGCCACAAGCATTAAGGAGGTTGTGCCTTGTCTGTGTTTTTTTTTTTTCTCATTAGAAGTAGTTCAGTCTTTGGAATGTCTGTTTAGATTTTAGAGGACTTGAAACTCATAAGTTGGGGCCTTTATTAGGCACTAGGATTTCAAGTTGTGTTAGTTTAATACAAGAATGCTCTTTCTACAATATAGCTATGATGTTTGCAAGGGAATAAAAGAATGAATGATACGGCTTTAGTACTGCAATTCCTAATTCTTGACTTCTACTTATAAAATTATATACACAAGTCAGAACAAGTATTTTAAACTCTGTATCTAGTTCGAACCTTCTACTTAATAAGCACTAAGAATCAAACTTGCATAATTAGATTGTTTACCAGTGGAACGTTGGCAGAGGAATTGTTGTGTATAATTGATGATAAAATTAAGAAATCTGCAAGATAATAGATTAAAAAAGAAAAGTGACTGATCAAAGTAAATTAATCAAGGCTGAAACAAATTCAATAAATTACACTCGAGAAAAGAAATTCAGTATAGAGTTTTTCTTGTTTTCTGAACTTTGACAATTACTCCTTTTAACCTTCCTTTCGTTGGTAACTCTTCTTAATTCAATTCTTTTAATCGGCTTAGATTCCACACTTTTTTGTGATTCTGGAGTAGTACATACAACTTCCAGGCTTTCAACCTCAGTCACTTCTGAGATTTGTTCAGTAACACTTTCCAATTCATCTGGCTCAATTTCCTCCACTTTTCTTTTCCTAAAAGGATTATTATCTGGGACTTTCAGCACTTCTTTCTGCTGACTCTTTTTCTCTTTTCCGACCGCTTTCCTAGTTGATATTGAAGGGCATAGCAAGTTTTGAAGAGCTACTGCTTCCTCTATGCACTCCCTGTCGTCCATAAATGGACACTGATTCTGTTCATCCGAGGCTTGCTTCGTCTCCACCACTGAAAATGCCAACAAAAACTGGTCTTTAAGTAAATTTGGAGTATAATTATCACTTTGCCAACACATTATGTACCCCTTAGTTCCATTTAAATGCACAACAAAAACGATTGTGGTATTGATGACTATCTGAACGACATGCTTGCCTGTTGTTTCTTTTCTGGTTTTACTTGAAGAAATAGCAATAAAACTGCTGTCTTTTGAAGCTTGAGCAGATGCCTGTTGTCGAGAGAAAGGACCACAAATTCTCTTGATGTTTGCAGTAGACACATGATTTACCATATTTGGAAAGAGATCGAAGGCCTCCATTGTACAAGGATCTATGCTACCTTGAGCAATTGCAGTTGCCAATGATGGAAGAATTTCTCTATTGACTGTCAAGGATAAATAGTTCGCCATATCTTTCATTGCAAAAGCATAAGATATAGCAATTTAAAGTACTATTTTGCAAGAGGTCAGAGAATGCTGAAGCTTCATTCATAACAGAAGGCAAGCTCCAAGTAAGAGGAGGACAAATTTAACCATATAACTCCAATAGGATGAAAACCGCAAAGAAACTAAAGGATACGGTCCTAAGAAGTCAAGTTCTTCGTCGAGAAACTGCAACAGCTGTTCTGGGACAGGTTTCAAGTGCTTGGTCTGCTTCAAACTAACATCATATCTAATTAAACATAGAAGAAAAGTTTATCATTCATGTGTCAGCTGACAGAACAAATGCAGAACTATACAGAAAAGTTGTCATGTTAATTGTTAGACTCACATTCTAGCATGGTGGAAAACTGCAACAGCTTCTTTAAATGATTTTGTGTAATCTTCAGGGACTTGATCTCCCTTCTCAAACTTTAACATGGAAAGAACCTGTTAAACATTGGAAAATGATTTTTAACTATGAAGCTCTAAGGGCATAAATCTTTGCAGGACATCTTAAGCTAAGAACAATCAGGGACGGTACAAATTCAACATTGCCCATTTAACTTGCAAAACAATATTATACATCTTACTGCAAACACCCCTCCTCCCCAATGAAAGGGAAGCTATGCCCGTGCCAAATCCCTGGCTCCCCCCGTCATCCCTACCCCCACCCCCCAGTCATGCCCAAAAGAAGAAAGGAAGAGGAAAAAAGGGCAAATAAGCATCGATGCAAAATCTGAAATCAACAGTAATTACAGCTTCCTGTTGACTCCATTAAATTGTTGAACAAGATCTAGTGCAAGTAATTATGTTGTTCCTTAACGTCTTGCTCTAGAAGGCTCTTGTGATATCACCTCTTAACTAGGAAATGATTTATCTCTTCAATTGGTATCCATAAATCTAGTATCAGGTAAAAGATCAGGTATCAGAATGGTGCAAAGCTGATATAAGCAATGCTAAACAAACCAAGCATATTATGATGACATTATAATAGCAATCAATCACCAATTACAAATACAAGAAGATAAACTTCCTTGCTTTGAACAAATAGAGAATATGCTTAGCTTACTCGATCTAAGTCACGATACTTGGAGACCAGATTATAAGCTTTTGTAATTCCTATGCCAGGGACAGACGGAAGAAAATCACAGCCAGCTAGGACACACATGCCTGCAAGTGATGAATAACGTAACTACTGTAAAATTTACAAAGAAGAAAGACAATCAAATGCTATTCAGAAAGAATTTCACTTTCAGCAGCTATTTTTCTTCTGTTGACTACACGAAAAAAGCAAGTCATCACCATTATTAGCTGCAAGAGTAGTCTTTGCTTGACTTCAAATGCTTTAGGTTTGGTTATCAATGCAAATGAGTTAAAAGCTAGAAATTGCTAGTAACCTGTAAATAAATCTTTATTCAAATGTCTGAAGGAAGGAACATGAGTAGCAGAACTGAAAACTTGGTCTAGTACCACTTCTTGACCATTGCCAAAGGAATCCATCTTAAAGAAAACCTGCTCAAAAGTACAAAAAAATAACAGAGGTTGCTTAGCTTTTAATTAAAGGAATTGAGCTGTTAGGAGAGCAGTAACCTCCATTAGGCCATATCAAGGTATTTGAGAAATTCTTACAGCGGGACAGCCATATGCTAGTAAGTCGCTATCCTCAGAAATTACTGCCACAATTCCACTCTTTTCTTCTTCTAGGCTAGACAAGTAGGCTAATTGTGCATCAGCTTCATATGGTGCTACAACAAATTCTATGTTCTCTGACTTCAGAATCTGCACATGTATAAAATCATAATTACATCTGGATAACTTGAAATCTTGAATTGGCAGATATATAAAATTGAAACCATGCAAACTACTGGAAAATTCAAGGAACTTGTATGTCGATGCAAATGTCAAATCAAAAAAGTAAGAAGAAATAAACTTCTGAACGAAATGTCTTGTATGAGTGAACCTGAATGAGTTGATGCGCCATTGATGGAGTGACACTCACTGCCCTCTGCATACAAAGCATTTGAAATGGAAAAAGATATTAGTTTGGCTATCTGGCTGGATAGTACATTAAACATCTAAAGGCAAACAAATACCATAGTTAAGTATTCTCAAATATCACAACCCTTTAGGCTTATTCAAATCATATGTGGTAATTATTCCAATTTGTGAGGGTTAATAAAGAAACCACGTTTACCATGACAATTTAGGGACTAGATAGTACCTGAAAGAGCTCAACGGCACCAGCAACATTTCCTTCCTTTAGCTTCAACATCGCCTGATCTCTATTTGTTTTTCTTCTCCTGTTGAAATAACAGATTAACAATCCACAAAACTGGTATAACAAAAATTGTGTATTGTTACTACTTAATTAAGACAAGAACTAAGTTGGCGATTACATGCCTGTGCCTTTCCTCTTCAGTTCCAGACTTACAGGGTAAGTTCCCACCATCAAAAACAACTACAGGAGTAATCTTATAATGTCGAAGCAGGTTAATTCGGTGCATGAAGTAATTCAAGTACTGCAATTTCTTGTCGCCCTCCAAATTAAGACACAGCTCCATACTACATGAATACGCTGAAAAGTACAGCTTTTATTGATTCTATCCATTTAAAACCACAAAATATGCAATAACAATTGAATCTTGAGCTAATATATGCCAAACCAAATTAAATACCTCCTTTGTGAAGCCAACAATACGCATCAATTCCCACCTATAACCAACAAAATATGATTTATTTATTTTTTTAAATTAAAACACAGAAATGCGATAAATGTGATGAATCTGTATATTGAATTGAAGGGAGAGGAAATGAAATGTTACCCTTTTGCCTGCGTATTTTTTAATGTGGACCGGTTCAACATAGGGCTTCATGAACCGGAGGAGATCTTTGATACCCATTTCTTTCTCTCTCTTTTTTTTCTTCTAGGTATTTTCTCCTGGATTTCTTGCTTGACCTTCTGGGTTTTGGATCTGTAGGTGAAAATTAGGAATTGGAGGAAGTGAGAGAAAATGGCGGGAAGAAGAGCAAGTGTTGAAAAATGGGCTGTGTGTATACCTAGCAGTAAAAGCGTCAAACAACGGTACTGTGACGGAACTAAAGTACCATCCAATGAAAAAGCACCACGTGCAAAACTCAAAGTCTATGTACACGTGGCGAGTATTTATTCGTATGTTTTCTCCACTTTTTTACCTAGTAAGTATTGCGAGGTATGACCTTCGGCATTTTAACGTTTTTACCGCGAAGATAAATTTTAAATTTTGGGTCCCAAGAAAAAATTCCCGGCGACTTGCCTTTGTTGCTGTTAGATACACCACGCTCCCAGCTGGTGCGTGCAAATGCTTGAATTTCTCTTTTTTTGGGGGTAACTAACTTTTTCCTATTAATCACCAATTGTATCCTTACTAACTTTCAAAAACCACTATGTTTTAGTGGTTATTAGCTAGTTGTAGCTACCATTTACGATACTATTTCCTATAGCTATGTTTTTAGATTTTCTAGAGTGTATTCGATGTATTTAAGCTACTGTATTCATGAATACAGTAGCATTTCTAGGCGTGAAACAGGGAATTACAGCTAGACAAATTTTTGTATTCGAGTGTATTCGACTGTATTCATGGCATGAAACATGGGATTACAGCTGGACAGATTATTGTATTCGACTGTATTCACGGCGTGAAACAGGAGATTACACTGTTTTAAACGGAAAGTGAATCAATTAACATAATAGACTCCTAATATAACTCAACAAACTCAATTATAACACACAAATTTTGTATTTTCAGTTATAAAAAAGATTCTCAACCGAAAAACACCCCAAAAATATAGCAATCTTCAGAGAAATTATATAATACATCTGAATACATAAATTATATTAATTAAAAAATATATATGAATACATTCATGGAATATAGCGAGACAATGAATACAATGAAATTCATAGAATACAGCGGGATACATTGAAATATAATGGAAAAAAAGGACAATGAATACAATGAAATACATAAAATACAACGAGATACATTGAAATACACTTAAAAAAAAGGTAACAGAATCTTCAATTTGCTCGGCCCCAAACTCCGTCGTCTTTGTTCAAGAACAACCCTAATGTCGTCTCGTCGAGAGGGCCGCGATTCTGACTCGAAACGTCATTGTTCCCGTTTCGATCAAGAACCCAATCCAAAGAGATCCTTAAACTCTTCCTTTATGATTATATCCGTGGCGTTTGTTTCCCATCTAGGGCTGCTCTTTTCAGGAAAAATTCTCTCTGCAAATTGTACAAACAGTTGAAGATTATTTTACAGTCTCTCTGTCTATGTCAATACTTTCTACTTTGACAAATTCTTGTGAAACATGGGTTTTCAGCAAATTGCGTTAGAGTTTATGCGATTAAGGGTTAAGGGAGAATAAGTCGCCACATGCAATCTGATGTGCAAGAAGAGAAGAGAGATGACTGTGAAACGGAAAACTAACAAGAAATAGATCATACAAATCGTATTTTATGGCTTAAGAGTAGGATGTGACCATAAATAGATATTTGGCTATAAAAATCAAAAGGTAGCTATAGAATATAATTTTTTAAAAAGGTACTTATTTAAAATAAATAAGATATCAACCTTTGCTATAGGAGGTAAAAATTCCTAATTTATTAGGGTTGATTTAAGATTTTTGGAACCCGTTTAAAAATGAGTACAAATTGTACGGGGCGTCCTATTTGGTCGCCCCCATTTAACTTATACCCCCTTTTTAAAAAAGTTTTAACATATACCCACTTTTTAAACAACTTCAGGCATCTTTTTCCTCCTTCTCCTCCTCCCCCTCCTTTATTTTCTTCTTCTCCTTCTTCTTATTCTTCTTCTTCTTCCGGTGACAATGATTTTATATGGTAGTTGTGAATATATTTTAATGTAGTTTATGATATTTTACAGTGCTGAGCTGTTATGACGTTTTATTTTTTACTATTGCTTAGGGTTTCTTGTTCTTTTTTTTTGTAATTGCAAAATGGGTTCATCAGATTTATTATTGTTTTGACCAATTGATGATTGCGGTTTGTTTCTGATGATATTTGGAGGCTATGTTTCAAATTTGAGCTCATTTGGAGTAGAATTAGGTATTAAATCGTATATTGGATTGTTATAATTCGAAGAACAATTTTATGTTTTCTGGGCAATTTTCACTTCAGTCTTATTGGCCTTAAGTGAATGAAAACGTTTGTTGCACTTCAGACTTTTGGCCTTAAGTGCATCTGAAGTGCAAATTTTCACTTCAGACTTATTGGCCTTAAGTGAATGAAAACGTGTAACGACCCGACTGGTCGCTTTAGGTATTTGCACTTCGCTCGGTGTTTCGAGGCCTCGAGTATCTCCACATGATGTATTATGACTTGCGTAAATCGTTAGTATTGGTTTTCAAGTTATCCGGAATCGATTTGGGGGAATGAAGTTCAAGATTTAAGTTCTACGTTGGAAGAGTTGACCAAGTTTGACTTTTTGCAATTGACCTCAGAGGAGTTTTGTTAGCTTCGTTGGGTGATTTCGGACTTAGGAGCGCGCCCGGATTGTAATTTGGAGGTCCGTAGTGGAATTAGTCTTGAATTGACGGAAGTTGGATTTTTGGGAAGTTTGACCAGGAGTGGACTTTTTGATATCGGGGTCGGATTCCAATTTCAAAAGTCATAATAGGTCTGTAATGTCAAATGTGACTTGTGTGCGAATTTTGAGGTCGATCGGAGGTGATTTGATAGGTTTCGGCATTGGTTGGGGAAGTTGAAGTTTCAAAGTTCATTGATTTCGGCTTGAGGTGTGATTCATCGCTTCGAGGTTGTTATGCATGATTTGAAGCTTCGAGTAGGTTCGTCTTGTCACATGGAACTTGTCTGCAAAATTTGGCGCCATTCGGAGTTGATTTGATAGGGTTCGGATGCTCGGTTGTGATTCTAGAAGTTCTTGAAGTTTAATTTTATTTTCATGTATTTTGGCGTCCGATTCGTGGTTTTAGAAGTTATTTTGATGATTTGAGCACGCGAGTGAGTTCGTGTTGTGTTTTTAGACTTGTGTGTATATTTGGTTTAGAGCCCCGAGGGCTAGGGTGAGTTTCGGATTGGTTTCAGAATGTTTTTGCATAGTTTTTAATTTCTGGTTCTGGTATCTTCGCATTTGCTAGGTTCTGATCGCAAATGCGGCCATCGCATTTGCGAAGAAACCTCACATTTGCGAAGCCTGGGCGACTGGGCAGTTTTCGCATTTGCGATGAACCAACCGCATTTGCGAAGGCTGGTCTTCGCATTTGCGAAGTTTTGTCGCAAATGCGACTTCAGCAGGCATCCTTCAGGTTCGCAATTGCGATGTATTTTTTGCAATTGCAGGGTTCGCATTTGCGAACCCCCTGTCGCAAAATGCGACATCTGCAACCTGTTAAGTGCTGAGAATTTCGAGTTTTTGCTTCATTTTTCATATTTTTGAACCCTAGCTTCGAGGTGGGGCGATTATGAGAGGGGATTTTCATCCCAAATCATTGGGTAAGTATCTTTAATCAATTTCCAACTATATTTCATGACTTTATACAAGATTTAACATCAAATTAATGGGAAAACTATGGAAAAATTTTGGAATTTTGTCAAAGTTTTAAAAAATAAAAATTTAGGATTTGAGAGTCGAATAAGACTCGGATTTGAAAACAAAACACATATTTGGACTCGCGGGGCGATGGGTAGTCAAGAACTGCCTTTGGATCCGGGTTTTGACCAGCCGGGCCTGGGGTTTCACTTATTACAAATTGAAAAAAAATCATAGCTTATTAATTGAAATTGTTTTCTCTTGCACTGTGTGGTGTATTCAAGTCGTCATTGGCTAGATTGAGTCGAGTAGAGACGAATTTGTAGGGGAAAAGGCTAAAGTGAGTGTTGGATTAGCCGAATTGAGGTAAGTGTTTTGCCTAACTTTGTTGAGGGAATTTTTCCTCCTATTTGTCATTGGTTGCCATATGCGGGGGTGATACATATATGAGGTGACGAGCGTATATATGTGTGTGCTAGGGTTAATCATGCTCGGGGGGTGGATTATGTTACATTTACGTTTGTAGAATTTCGTGACCTCTTGCTTCATGCCTTACTTGACTCTTGAATACCAAGAACATGATATTAAATGATAGAAATCAAGACTTATATTATTATAATTGGATCAAAATTGATGGGAATTCTGAGAATACATTGATGTGTCTAATTTGGTTATCTCTATGTGAAATCATTGCTACATTACTACGGTCGATATTCTTGAGATACTAGACTATATAATTATGTTGTGGATCATTTGTGAGATTTGTGGAAGTATTTGAATAATACGATTCTTGAGGATTGTTGAATCATTGTTGACTTGGAACGTTGTGATTGGGAATTGTTTGGAATATCCGTTAAAATACTCTCCTTGATGTCATTTATGCTTCCTGCCTTGTTTGTTATTATTATGCTGCATATGCTTGGTAAGGAAGAGTGTAAAGCACGAAGGGTGATGTCGTGCCATTGTTTATATATTATCATGTGAGGGAGAGTGTAAAGCACGAAGGGTGATGTCGTGTCACATTATTGAGAGTAAAAGCACGAAGGGTGATGCCGTGCCACACTATTGAGAGTAAAAGCACGAATGGTGATGTCGTGCCGTATCATTTGAGAGTAAAAGCACGAATGGTGATGCCGTGCCATTACATTTATATTGTTATGCTTGTATGTTATTGTGAGGTCATGGCACGAAGGGTGTTTCCGTGCAGGTGAGGACGAGGGACATGCATTATGACGTGATATCTGTTTCCCGTGTATACGTTTGTGCCCTTACCTTGAGTTGTTATTGTTGTATCTACATATTTTGTGTGACTTGTTGTTATTGTCATGTACTTGACCTTGCGAATACCGTGCCTATTTCCTGCTTTTATAATATACTCATGTTGTATCTATTCTGTTGCACTTTAGTTTAAGCCTTCCACCACGCTAGCCATTCATGGCCTTACTTGTTAACTTGCACAGATCATGTGTTTCCGTCG